CCCATCATCCACAAAGGAAAGCAACATCATGTTAAGCGGCGCCGCTTTGATATAGAAGAGCTTCATTACCGGAGCAATGAACAGCCCAGAGATAACAGGCGAGAGAGCAGAGCCCTGCCCAACACCCACGTCCGCAGACCGCGAGTCGGATTGGAAGGTGTTCCAACAATAAACTGTGGAACGACCAACGAGATAAGAGGCAAAGAACTCCACCAGAACCGGCGAGAACCCTTGCTTGCGAAGTACGGCCATGAACATCTCATGGTTGATAGAAGGGAAAAACTGCGCGATGTCAAAAGCCAGCGCACTAGTCTGGAGACCCTTAACCCACCCCGCTCGCATGAGATGAGTCAGAATCAATCCAGCATCCTCAGTTGACCTCTGGCGGATGCCGCCAAGTTGGTTAGGATGGAAGATATCATGCTTGACAGCGTCAAACTGTATCCTACTAGCGATCATCTTTTCGATGAGTTTACCGAAAGTGATGAGGAGTACGATCGGCCTGAAGGCCTTTGGCACGAAATAGGAGGGCTTGTTCGGCTTCGGAACGATAACCGATAGCGACTCCTTGAATATACGCGGCCAATGACCCACCCGAAGGCAAGCATTAGCCAGCACGATGAAGAGCGCGAGGACGTGTTTATCCTTGAGCAGCTCCTTTAGGTGGACCCATGTAATGTGGTCCGGTCCTGGTGCAGAGGAGTTGGAGCAGGAGTTGGTTTAATCAACAACTCATGCTCCGAAAAGTCAGCCTACTCACGGACCGGCTCATCGGGAAGCTCATCTAAGACTGAGGCATCGTACTCATGACCAGAGGCCGAGTTGTACGTGCCGTGTAGGGCGTCCCAGAGGTCGTCCATATCGTGGCAAGGCTGGTCGCCATTGCGAATAGCCTCACAGGGTGGTAGCTTGCGCTGTTTGACCCATTCCATTAGGTCCCATGGGCGCTTGCGAGAGGTAGCGATTTCTGCGATGCGTTCATCAAAGAAATCCTGCTTGGCGTCTTTGCACGCCTTCTTAAACTTGTTGTAGTCAGCAAGCAAACGGCTCAGCTGATATACTCCGAATGTCTCCGAGCACTCATCCGTCCACCAGGACTTGGAGCGCTTGGTAGGTTTGGACTTGGTCGAATGGACAAGCCATGCGTCCGAGAACGCGGTCGCAATAGCATCAGCTAAAGCTTCAACGCCTTCCTTGGTTGCCGGGGCTGCGACAGGAATAGCCGCAAGATCCCAGAGAATATCCGAAATGAAAGACTTCTCAGCCTCGCTTCCGGGTTTAATTGTCCGTCGCCCAGATCCGGGCAGTTCGGGACCGATATCAAGATCTGTACAGATTGGGACATGATCTGACGGACCCTGGAGATTGTGCTCCAATCTGGGCATCGAGATTAGAATCTCAGATGGAGCTAAGAATACAAGATCCAACACGTTGGATCTCTGGTTTGGATTAGGACTGATCCTCGTCGGTCCATGGTTAGAAGGTCGTGCCCACTCGAGGCCGATCTGAGATGCGGTATCCTGCAGTGATATTGCTGTCGACGACTCGCCATGCTCATAGTCATCCCAAGTCGTCGACACACAGTTAAAGTCACCAGCCATATAAATGAAAGGTAAAGAATGCACATGAGCAGCGAGGTGCTCAATGGCTGTGTGTTGATCGTCAGAGTAGACGTTCATTAGATTAAGAGCCTCACCCCCACTAAAGAGGGAGAGGACGAGGATGTCGCGGTGGTCGACGATGTCGCGACGCATAGCGGGACGATAGCGGGAGAGCCTAGTCGAAACGTAGGCGATCACGCGGGGAACTTCCCCTTCCTTAATGCGCACCATTTGCAACCAATCGGGATGCTTTGGTGCACCAATAACCTCATCGCCCTCCATACTAGTGGTGGACGGTGCGTGTCTTATGAAATTCCAAGGCGTTTCTTGGAAAAATAAGATATCAAATCTGTTTTTACAAATTTCGAGGAGGGTGTCTACGTGTGCATAGGTATGACGAACGTTCTGACAGTAAATACGAAGCCCACTACTTAGATCCTGAAGGTTTCCTAACATTGGTCTAGGTTCAGGGGTTAGTAAGTTGGCGGCGAGCAGCGTGCTCATGTACCTGACGATACTCGGCCATGATCCACTCACGGTCGTAGCGATGGGCCCAGAACTTACACGAGGCCGAGTTGGCGGCGTGGTCCTTGTGGCAATTGACACAGCGGCCCTTGTGGGGGCAGGGCTGGTCGTGAGGGGTGGGCGGCACAGGGGGTTTCGCTTTCGTGTTGCCCTTGCAACATCCCGCATGTTGACGGTGCTCCTTCTGCTCGTGCGGACCCGAGCAGATGGGGCAGGAAAGTTGTTTCGCCTTACAGGCGACGGTGGGGTGGCCCCACTTCCAGCAGCGCTGGCAGAGTGGGACCCCGGTGTGTCGTGCGGCGGGCCTGATAGCACAGGACCGCCCAGCGAGGAAGATTGGTTGGCCTAAGGCCTTCTTGGCACGGGTTCCCTGCTGGGAGTCCCAGATGTTGCAATACACGGTGCACGATGTTGAGTGCGCCGAGTTGCGGTCGATCCGAGGCTTGGTGCTCAGATATGCAAAGACCTCAGCATGCACCGAGGTACGGAGGGCCTTCTCAAGCGCCTCCTGGGTAATCTTCAACCCCTTCGGATCGAAGTAGGGAACGTCGAGGATCTTTATGAAAGATGTCGATGATGGGAGCGCAACCTCGAACAGGGTACCCGTTGGGAGGCTTTCGCGGATGAAGTTACGCAGGATGTCCAGATCGGACGGACTGGCAACAGCGGGGGTGACCAACGACAAACCGTCGTAGGCGCGAACGATGGAGGTGACCTTAAGCATAGATCGACCATCCCTGAGGTACCCGTTGGCTGCACGGACAGCCGACTCGGTGAAGAATTTCGTGAGGTCGGGAGGGGTACCCCCGAACGACACGAGAACCTGCTTCCGGGTGGGGCCCTCGGAAGTAAAAGAAGGAACGGACCGATAGGTGAAGTCTTCATCGGACCCGTTGGGAATGCGGGGGAAGGAGAAGGCCCGCGAAGTTGCGGTCCCAAGCCAGGAGGCGGGGGAGGCATCGGAGCGGCCTGTTTGGCAATCCCTGCCCACGTCGTTGGACGGGGCTTAGGTTTGGTGGCACGGTTGATCGGCGGGGGCGGACCAGGGCGGGAGTAGGCCACCTTACTCTTCTTCTGAGGAGGAGGTGGGACTGGACGATCGACACCCTTACGCTTCTTGGAAGCGGGGATGCGAGGAGGGGAGGCCGGGCGACCAAGGTCATCCAATGCCTGCATGAGGACGTCGGGCGGGGCCCCTACGCCAACGACACCCTCGTCGAGCGGCCCACGGGCAGCAGGAGGAGGAGGCCTGAATACGGGAGCCGGGTGGATGGTCGGCTCGTCCTTGGAAGACGTCTCAGCCTCGAGGAGAGAGGCGAGCGAGAAGTTGTCGAGTTCGCCTGGTCCGCGAATACGACTAAAGTCGGTGGCCATGACGGCGTTCACAAAGGACGTCATCTGGGCCACGAAGGCATCGCCCCCATCGATGGTGAGCGGATTGTGGTGCGCGGCCCGCAGAACCCAGTCTGTGGCCTTCACAATGGAGGTGGTCAATACCTCGAGATCGCCAGGAAGATCCTCGACTGTGTCTCGGAACTTCAAGGCATATTGACCGAGAAGAAGGTCGACGGAGGGGTCCCTCAAGACCTCCTCCCCTCCCTGAGTGCCCTCTACCTCCATCTCCTGGGGTTGGGCCGTCCCTGAGTCAGACTCATCTGCGGACGAATGGGCGGAACCCGTGGTGGAACGGGACCTGCAGCGGGGTGACGTGTGGCGAGATCGAGCTGGCACGACCGTCGAGTATGTGGCCCTAGTCGAGGTCGGGTCAGGCGAGATTGGCGAGGCATCACCGCCAAAAGACGATGAGCCAGCGACCGATGGTGGTATTGCTGGTGGGGCGGAGCCCGAGTCCCCCCCACGACGGCTCCTAGGAACCGCCCCAGGGGGCCTCGTGCCCCGACCTCTCGGTGGGAGGTCGGACATGGTTTGCTGATGCGGTGCGAACGTTCAGGCGGGGTGGTCTGACTGTAAGATAACGCGGTGGACGATGTGCGAGACGGTGAGCTGGTTGTTTGCACGTGTTTACAAGTGGGCATTCGAAAGAAAGAGGCGGACAAGCATTCATCAGGCTCTAATTTGTCTTCTGATATGCCACCTATTCAGGGTTGTCAAATTATAGAGGCTGCTGTGCACAGGGTAGGCAGAGATGTGTTTCAATTGAAAGGGAGGTGGCTGAGGATTGAGTGGGTTAACTCAAGCGATAGACGGTCTAAATTGTTCTGGAGAACAATGGAGGATGGCACTATAAAGCAAAATGTAAGGCTACACTTTGAAGGCCAGATGATGTTGACACATACCCCTTTCGGTAACGCTGAAACCAAGTTTGGCAGCAAGCACCTCCAGATGTGCGAGCACTAACTGACGGCTGTTGGCATTGACGGAGCCAATATCGAGGAGTTCAAGAGAGGAGTTTCTCCACAAATTAGGTGACGGATGAGACTGGCAGGGCATATCGAATAGAGGACTGGCAGCAATGAACGGCAGAATGATTTGTGGTTAAGAGCAAGACTACAGCCACAATAAATAGTGGTGCCATATCTCTCTGTTGCTATAGAACCCAGGCTCCAAATGTCGGCAGATTTCAATGGGGGTTCACCCCAAATTTATGAACAAATTGAGGCACCAATAAATGGCAAACTGTGCAGGACCGCAGAAATCGGAGACAGCAAAACACGCTAAACAAGCGGCTAATATATGACTGATGACCCTGCATCAATACTTGTAAGGGCATCAAATCCTCTTCTCATATTAACCGCTGACGCTGCTCATTCAGACTCCCCACCTTCCAATTTCTGCCATGGATGAACACTACAACATAAATGCGGCTAGTAAGTTGTCTATTGATTTGGTAGATGGAGGACTGAAAGATGTTACACAGAAACATCTCTGGAAAAAATGTCCAAAGAACGCACGCCAAACCATCTTCAGCTCTGCAAGTTTGACATGGTATGTGCTCTCGTTTCAGAGAAAATAGATGTGCAACTCACTGACAGCATTTAGGAGGAGGGGCTGCATCATTTTGTACAGCCTACATATACTGAATATCCTTGATGCTGGAAGCTGACTTACTTGGACAACGATGGTGGAATTGAAGAAGTTGTCTTGCGAGTCCAGGGCGTTATAACTGGCAGCGCCATGCCTCCTATTAAGTGGCCATTCAAGATGTAAGCAAACAGACTGCAGAATATATGAATTAATGGTTTATGACAGGGCTTATAGCGAACCCCATCAGCGGGCATACTTCCACCAGTCAGCAGCCTTGACAGGTTTTGGATCAGAATCCTTTGCTGATGCAATAAAATGCATTGAAGAAATCCATAATATTTTTGCTCGCCATTTTCCTGAAGGATCTCTTGAACTGTGGAATGCTTCAAGCAGTGCTGGGTATCTTACTATCAATATGGTGAACCGCTACTTCACTCCTTGCTCTCAGGCATCTCCAGACCAAATCATCTCCTTCTCTTTTGCCATTGATCCTGATGGCATTCTTGCAGCATGCACTACTGATGGAACTCTGGTCCACACCAAAGATAATTCTGCAGAGTATTATGAGCGCTATCAGGAGGGTGAAAAAAAATGGTTAGTAACATAGCCCATAAGTTCTGCTGGTGGACTAATTGTGTTGATTTTTTATTCAGATATGAGGCCATTGATCCACATAGGAGATATAGCAGAGGCTCAAGTATCCTTCGTAGTCATTCGTTTAAAGGAGCAGAAGTACAAGATGCTCATAGTTATGCAGGCATTGACCTTGCTTGATAGCTCACCACTCCAGGTAAGCTCAAGAACTGCAGATGTCATTCACCAATATAGCTGACTAAATGCAAACATAGAATGCCGCCATTGCCCGAAATTGAGTCAAGAACCAGAGCATAATATCAGCCACACTTAAATGGAAAGTAGGATATCAGGATGAGGAGGTCAAGGAGATGGAGAGTAAGATTCGGCGGATGAGAATTGAGTAGAATATAGAAGGGCTTTAATTGGATATGGTTGGAGGAGCCATATATTTGAATTAAAATTTCAAGAAAATCAACTTCCAGGTCAAGGGTGGAGATTAATTCAGCCAAATGGAGAAACCAACATCAGAAATACTTTCTGCAAAATACTCCTTAGGCAATTGTCAAGTTGTTCTCTACCTCTTGCCAGCACATTGAGAAATGTCGCCAAACAGCAGTGAGTCTCCCATCTAAAGTTGCTATTCAAATGCTCACAGATGCCTATAGAAGCCCTATGTGAAGCATATAGCAATGATGAGGACAGAGCAGGAAATCCTGCTTTTGATGCTGTTCAGCAGGATTTGCACATCACGGTTGAAGAAATCACAGCAAGCTATCTTTTGGGACCTCCCAACATTCTCCTTGTGGTCATGGGTATTAGCCACGCTATAATCTCTGGCTCTTATGCTCTCCTTGTCTTCTTTCATGGCACATTTATCCCTCAAGATCTTGATATCTATGTTCCTGTGCAGTGGGTGCATATCCTCAAGGCATATATTGTGGAGAGAGGATGGAAGGAGAATGACGACCACAAAGACACAGCTTATGACATGGCCAGTGTTCTCGATGTTCTGCTCTTCAAGCATCCTCAAAGCAATCGGACCATCAATGTTATCATATCCTGCACAAGCTCTGCCATTCAACCTATTGTAGAATTTCATTCTACTCTGGTTATGAACTATATAGCCTTGTATGGAGTGGTGTGTTTATATCCCACATTGATGCTCATGGGAAAGGGGATAATCAGGGTTCAAACTGACAAAACTCGTCAAGGCTTTGACAAGTATCGACAATGTGGATTTGATCTTCAAGAATTGACATCTGCCTGGGCTGACCTTCCTGGACATCGGTGCAAGGTTGACTATATGTGTCCAGCGACTATACGAAATCTTCATGACTATGGAACAGTGTTTATTCCTTTCACTCAATGCTCTCATCGGCTCAACGCCTCTTTCTCTCGAACGCCCACTTGTCAATAAGTACAAACAACCAGCTCACTGTCTCGTACATCGTCTAGCGCTTTATCGACAAGCCAGAAGATTTCTTTTGATCATTTGTTCTTTTGATCATTTGTACCGCATTTGCAAACCATGTCTGACCTCCCACCAAGAGGTTGGGGTGCAAAACCCCCTGGGGCGACTCCTAGGAGCCATTGTGGGGGGGCCTCAGGCTCCGCCCCACCAGCAATACCACCATCGGTCGCTGGCTCATCGTCTTTTGGCGGTGATGCCTCGCCAATCTCGCCAGACCCTACCTCGACTAGGGCCACATACTCGACAGTTGTACCAGCTTGATCTCGCCACACGTTGCCCTGCCGCAGGTCCCATTCCACCGCGGATTCCGCCCATTCATCCCACTACGAGTCTGACTCAGGGACGGCCCAGCCACACCAGGAGATGGAGGTGGAGGGCATGGCGCCCGTAATAAGGGCACGATGAACCAGTTGAAACGGATGCAGCGAAAAGCTGCTCTATGGATTACAGGTGCTTTCCGCACCTCCCCCACGGGCGGTCTTGAGGCTCTAGCGGGCCTCATTCCTGTCCACCTTATGCTGAAGAAGCTGGCAACGCGCGCAGTGTATCGTGTAGCCACCCTCTCAGACACTCACCCTCTTCGCTCTATGATGGGCGAGGGACTCCTCAAGCGAGCCGCACCACATGCTCGCTCCGCCGCCTTGATGACCCCAGCCATGCGAGGGAAAGTCAAGAGCACTGTCATTTTTTTTTTTTTTTTTTATCAACAATTTATATAGCGGTGCTCGATGGCAGCCCGCTCGCTATCTACAGACACGTACGCTATGCGGCCTGGGTACTAAGTAAACCACTAAAGGACGTCCGCCCCCCCAACCGCGAGCCTCAAGAGCACTGTCATGGAAGTGGACGAGCGTGTCCACACCTTAACTGAGAGCTTCGAGCCCTTTGCGCCCGAAGCTCGCCCCGGTGATCGGTTACTGGACCGCTATGCGGACTGTCTCCATTTTGACGAGCGCGACCCTGGCCAGGATAGGCGCCCATATCTAGACGAGCTCATCGCGAGAGCGAGGGCCGACCCACTAACAGTGCTGGCTGCGACCGACGGCTCCGTCCCTCAGTCCAACCAGTATCAGGCGGCTTCAGCTGCCATCATCTACAAGGGACATCGCGAGCTCGAGAGGACTTGCTATGTCTCTGGCAGAGTTACCGCCCCTGATGCGGAACTCAATGCCATCTCGTGTGCAGTACGCCTTGCTGTCAAGCAGGCAAACTGCCAACATATTATGGTCTTTACTGACTCTATGGGCTCAGCCCATAGAGCGGTTGACCCTTCCGTGCACTCTGGTCAGGCTTTCAGCCTGTCAGTCTGTCGCGTTCTTCAAGAGTGGTTTGAGGCAGACGATTTCCGCCGCATTACCTTCGTTTACGTCCCATCCGCCCTGCGGTGGGATATCCATGGTGAAGCACACAAGTACGTCACCGAGCTCAAAGTCAGGGTTGGACGTCGCAAGACGGACAACTCCATAGATGCACTACGCTCTCGAGCAGCGCACTCAGTCCTGGATTCGTGGAGTTCCACTTTCCAGGATCCAACCTACCGAGGCTCTGAGTTTTTAGAGCTTCAACAGCCTGACGGGCGGCCGCTACAGCCATCGTACCTCAATGGGGGACCTTGGCTTTCAACATTCGGACACAGTATCACTGAGTTCGCCCGCGTTTGCCGGTGTATAACTGGCCACACACCCATTGGAGCGTATTACCGTCGCTTCAAGATCAATGAGCCTCACGGCTGCACTTGCGGGGCTGCTTTGCAGTCTCGCCAGCATATCCTCTTTCGCTGCCGCGATAGATATTCTGTACACTATCCCCGTTTTCTCGGGGATATTGCATCGTTTATGAAGTACAACCCTACGGCGTTTGGCTTCAACCGGGACCCGTCGGGTGTCGGATAATCGTTGTGGGCAGGGTTGTTCCTCCTTTCGGGGGATTTATGGTGAATTGACACCACCGAGCTCTAGGGTTCGAAGACCTGCGCCTACCGCTATTTCTTCGCGCTTGCGGCCGCTATTGTAGCGGATTGCGGCGCCGCTAACTCTCTGCGTCTGGTTTCGGGCAGGCGCTTCTCTGGCTTGTCGGCCTCAAGACACCCTGCCACCTCCTGGGTGGTGCTGTTCTTATCTCATTTGCGCTGCGTGGCCTCCGAACAGCGTTCAACGGCTCTGGGGTTTAGCGGGGCCTCGATGGTTTCTTCCCCTTATTCCGAGTCACCGTTTTCGCGAGGTGGGTCTGGCTTTATGGGAGCTTCGGCGTTTGAGCCATAAGGCTCGCGGTTGGGGGGGCGGACATCCTTTAGTGGTTTACTTAGTACCCAGGCCGCATAGCGTACGTGTCTGTAGATAGCGAGCGGGCTGCCATCGAGCACCGCTATATAAATTGTTGATAAAAAAAAATAAAAAATGGAGGTGGAGGGCTCTCAGGAAGGGGAGGAGGTCTTGAGGGACCCCTCCATCGACCTTCTCCTAGGTCAATACACCTTGAAGTTCCGCGACACTATTGAGTCTTCCTGGCGATCTCGAGGTATTGACCACCTCCGTTGCGAAGGCCACAGACTGGATTCTGCGGGCCACGCACCACGATCCGCTCTCCATCGATGGGGGTGATGCCTTTGCGGCTCAGATGACGGCTTTTGTGAGCGCCATCGTGAGCACTGACTTTGGCAGGATTCGCAGACAAGGCGATCTTGCAGAAATCCCCTCACCTCCATGCTTGAGGCTGAGACGTCCTCCAGGGAAGAGCCGACCATCCATCCAGCCCCCGTCTTTTGACCCCCTCCCCCTGCTGCCCTTGGGCCGCTCGATGAGAATACTGGCGTTGGATCTTCCAACATCCCCATGCAGGCATTGGACGACCTTGGTTGTCCTGCCTCCCCTTCTCGCATCCCCACTTCCTTGAAGCGTAAGGGTGTCAATCGTCCAGTGCCACCTCCTCCTCAAAAGAAGAGCAAGGTCGCCTACTCCCGCCCTGGTCTGCCCCCGCCAATCAATCGCGCTACCAAGCCCAAGCCCCATCCAACGACCTGGGCAGGGATTGCCTGTCAGGCTGCCCCGATGCCTCCCCTGCCTCCTGGCTTGGGACCGCAACGACACAGGCCGTCCCCCCCACCCTCATTCCCAACAGGCCCAATGAAGACTTCGACTCATCGGTCTGTTCCATCTTTCACTTCTGAGGGCCCCACCCAGAAGCAAGTTCTCGTGTCGTTCGGGGGTACTCCTCCTGACCTCACAAAGTTTTTCACGGAGTCGGCCATCCGCATGGCCAACGGGTACCTCAGGGATGGTTGTTCCATGTTGAAGGTCACCTCCATTGTCCGCGCCTATGACGGCCTGTCGTTGGTCACCCCCACTGTTGCCAGCCCGTCCAACCTGGACATTCTGCGCAACTTTATTCGCGAAAGCCTCCCAACGGATACTCCGTTCGAGGTCACGCTCCCATTGTTGACATCTTTTATAAAGATTCTCGATGTTCCCTACTTTGACCCCAAAGGGTGGAAGATCACCCAGGAGGCGCTTGAAAAGGCCCTCCGTACCTCGGTTCATGCTGAGGTCTTCGCATATCTGAGCACCAAGCCTCGAGTAGATCACAACTCAGCACACTTGACATCATGCACTGTCTACTGCAACATATGGGACTCCCAACAGGGAACCCGCACCAAGAAGGCCCTTGGCCAACCAATTTTCCTTGCTGGGCAGTCCTGTGCAATCAGGCCCGCTGCGTGACACACCAGGGTCCCGCTCTGCCAGCACTGCTGGAAGTGGGGCCACCCTACTGTCGCCTGCAAGACGAAGCAGCTCTCTTGCCCCATCTGCTTGGGTCCGCACGAGCAGAAGGAGCACCGTCAACATGCAGGATGTTGTGAGGGCAATGCGAAAGCAAAGCCCCCTGTGCCGCCCACCCCTCACGACCAGCCCTGCCCCCACAAGGGCTGCTGCGTCAACTGCCACAAGGACCACGCCGCCAACTCAGCCTTGTGCAAGTTCTGGGCACATCGCTACGACTGTGAGTGGATCATGGCCAAGTATCATCAGGTATGTGAGCACACTGCTCGCTGCCAACTTACTAACCCCTGAACCTAGACTAATGTTGGGAAACCATCAGGATCTAAGTAGTGGGCTTTGTATCTTTTGTCAGAACATTCATCATACATATGCACACATTGATACTCTTCTAGAAATTTGTAAAACAAAGTTTGATATCTTATTCTTCCAAGAAACTCCTTGGAATTTCATAAGACACGCACTGTCCACCACTAGTTTGGAGGGCAATGAGGTTATTGGTGCACCGAAGCATCTGGATTGGCTGCAAATAGTGCACATTAAGGAAGGCGAAGTCCCTCACGTGATTGCCTATGTTTCGACTAGGCTCTCCCGCTATTGTCCCGCTATGCGTTGTGATATCGTTGACCATCATGATATCCTCGTCCTCTCCCTCTTTAGCAGGGGTGAGGTTCTTAATCTAATAAACGTCTATTCTGATGACCAACACACAGCCATTGAGCACCTCGCTGCTCGTGTGCACTCGCTCATCCACCTCCATGACAGTGCTCTTGACTTTCCCTCGCATGGCTGGGGTCATCAAGGCGGCGGAGCGAGCATGTGGTGCGGCTCGCTTGAGGAGTCCCTCGCCCATCATAGAGCGAAGAGGGTGAGTGTCTGAGAGGGTGGCTACACGATACACTGCACGCGTTGCCAGCTTCTTCAGCATAAGGTGGACGGGGATGAGGCCCACTAGAGCCTCAAGACCGCCTGTGGGTGAGGTGCGGAAAGCACCCGTGATCCATAGAGCAGCTTTCCGCTGCATCCGTTTCAACTGGTTCATCGCGCCCTTATTGTGAGCGCCATCGAAATACCAGAGACGATAGCCGTATATGGCAATGGGAACCACACACAACCGATATAAGAGGTGGCGCTGTTTAGGCGAGAGACCTCTAGTACAGTTCCCGAGCATGCGCATGGCCTGCACGGTGGTAAACGCCTTGGTGGCATAGTAGCGAACGTGCTCATGAAACGTGAGCCCGCGGTCAAAGTAGAAGCCCAAGTACCTCCAATAGGTCTTGGGCTTCAAAGGTGTAACACCGGTATGCGGGGCGTACCCCAAATCCAGCGAGGGATTATAGGCATCTTGCCAACGCGAAAAGTGGAACAGCTCGGTCTTGTTGTGTTCAAGAACAAGTGCGAAGGCAACAAAGAGGAGGTAGATAATTTTGTAGGCCTTATGCAGGCCTACATTATTATCATCAAGTTGTTTGGATTGGGCCAAGATGGTCCCGTCATCCACAAAGGAGAGTAGCGTCATGTTGAGCAGCGCCGCTTTGATGTAGAAGAGCTTCATTACCGGAGCAATGAACAGCCCAGAGATAACAGGCGAGAGGGCAGAGCCCTGCCTGACACCCACGTCCGCAGACCGCGAGTCGGATTGGAAGGTGTTCCAACAATAAACTGTGGAACGACCAACGAGATAGGAGGCAAAGAACTCCACCAAAACTGGCGAGAACCCTTGCTTGCGAAGTACAGCCATGAACATCTCATGGTTGATAGAAGGGAAGAACTGCGCGATGTCGAAAGCCAGCACGCTAGTCTGGAGACCCTTAACCCACCCCGCTCGCACGAGATGAGTCAAAATCAATCCAGCATCCTCAGTCAACCTCTGGCGGATGCCGCCAAGTTGGTTGGGATGGAAGATATCATGCTTGACAGCGTCAAACTGTATCCTATTGGCAATCATCTTTTCGATAACAGGGTTCAGCTGTCTCACCTGTTATCTCAGGGCTTTTCATTGCTCCGGTGATGAAACTCTTTTACATTAAGGCAGCACCACTCAACATGATGCTACTCTCCTTTGTGGATGATGGGACCATTTTGGCCCAGTCCAAACAACTCAATGATAATAATGTGGGCCTGCATAAGGCCTACAAAATTATCTACCTCCTCTTTGTTGCCTTCGCACTTGTTCTTGAACACAACAAGACCGAGCTGTTCCACTTTTGCGTCGGCGAGACGCCTATAATCCCTCGCTGGATTTGGGGTACACCCCACATACAGGTGCTACACCTTTGAAGCCCAAGACCTATTGGAGGTACTTGGGCTTCTACTTTGACCACAGGCTCCCTGATGCGGAACTCAATGCCATTTCGTGTGCAGTTCACCTTGCTGTCAAGCAGGCAAACTGTCAGCATATCATGGTCTTTACTGACTCTATGGGCTCGGCCCATAAAGCAGTGGACCCTTCCGTGCACTCTGGTCAGGCTTTCAGTCTATCAGTGTGTCGTGCTCTCCAAGAGTGGTTCGAGGCAGATGATCTCTGCCGCATCACCTTTGTCTACCTATGTTCCATCTGCATTGCAGTGGGATATCCATGGTGAGGCACACAAGTATGTCACTGAACTCAAAGTCAGGGTTGGATGTCGCAAGACGGACAATTCAATAGACGCGCTCCGCTCTCAAGCTGCACACTCAGTCCTGGATTCGTGGAGTTCCACTTTCCAGGATCCAACCTACCAAGGCTCTGAGTTCCTAGAGCTTCATCAGCCTGACGGGCAGCTGCTTCAGCCATCGTACCTCAATGGGGGACCTTGGCTTTCAACCTTCGGACACAGTATTACTGAGTTTGCTCGTGTCTGCTGGTGTATAACTGGCCACGCGCCCATTGGAGCGTACTACTGTCACTTCAAGATCAATGAGCCTCACGGCTGCACTTGCAAGGCTGCTTTGCAGTCCCGTCAGCACATCCTCTTTCGCTGTCGTGATCGATACTCTGTACACTGTCCCCGTTTTCTCGGGGATATTGCATCGTTTATGAAGTACAACCCTAAAGTGTTTGGCTTCAGCTGGGACCCTTTGGGGGTCGGATAATCGTTGTGGGCAGGGTTGTTCCTCCTTTCAGGGGATTTATGGTGAATTGACACCACCGAACTCTAGGGTTCAAAGACCTGCGCCAACTTCCCTCCTTCGCGCTTGCGGCCCACTATTACAGCGGGTTGTGACGCTGCTAACTTCCTGTGTCTGGTTTCGGGCAGGCGCATCTCTGGCTGGTCGGCCTCAAGACACCCTGCCACCCCCCAGGTGGTGCTTTTCTTATTTCATTTGCGCTGCGCGACCCCCGAACAGCAATCAATGACTATGGGGCCTAGCGGAACCTCAATGGTTTCCTCCCCTTATCCCGATGCACCATTTTCGCAAGGTGGGTTGCCCTCTCAGAAGTTTCGACGCGCACACCAGAAGGGTCTTGGTTGGGGGGGTGGTCGTCTTTTAGTAGTTAACTTAGTACCCGGGTCACGTAGCATATGTGTTTGTAGATAGTGAGTGGGCTGCCATCGAGCACCGCTATATAAATTGTTGATCAAAAAAAAAAAGCTCTCATCGGCTTGAAGCACATGAAGACAGTTTGGTATGGAAGAATCCCATCAAGTGTGGAGGAAATGAAATGGTTAAAGATATTGGCTATATGGTATCTGCAATAGGAGAATATTGTGAGAATCTCATCAATGATTTGGTGCTGGTCTTGCTAATGATTTAATATTTAGGGTGTTCACTTTAGAGAAAGGAAAATTATTTCATAGAAGGAATAGCAACATGAGCTATTGATCTTTACCAATTGGAGCAATATAGTCCTTCTTTACACTGTCAAGCTACTTTTCAGAACAAAAAAAGTCTACATGTGGAACGGTCAGAACTTGATAAAAACTCACCACTACATAAGTCCTCCAACTTCAAAATTGTGCCAATTTTCTTCAGTCATTATCTTCAAACTCTGAGGATTCCTCAAGCTCATATGTGCTGCTAGAAGACAAATCAGCAGGGCACTTTGAACATGCACAACAAATATACAGATGGAAAAATCTCATCAACAATGAACCGTCCATCTTGCTTAAGTTGTGATGTGAAGTAGTTCTGGACATCAGGAATATGGCTGCTATAGAAAGAAATACGGTGGAGGTATGGGCATATTGAAAAGAGGAAATGAAAGAAGTCAATGCAATAGCGGATGGATTTGATATGTCCAAAGAGCCCAAATTCTTTCAACATCAAAGAAGAAGAACTGAATAAAGTTTTGGGCTTTTGAGAAGGTTGAAATGGAAACTGGAGGGTTTGAAGATGAGGACAATGAGTTATAAAACTATAAAAGGATGTTGTAGTTGCAGTGGGACGCTGTGTAGCCAAAGAGGTAAAATGAGATCCAAGGGTAAAAGATGTAAGAGATGGCCAAGCAGAAGAAAGAGATGTGAACACAGAATTGGATAACCTGGTCAAGTTCATTAAAGCAAAATGTCTCCATAGAAGAAAATATGGCAAGACAATGAAGAGAGGAATCTTCAAGAAAATTATTAATTTCAAAATCGTTCCAGTCAAAACCAGCTTCTATGTCCCAAGTAACATCAAAGCTAATTTTCTTCAATGGAGCCAGTGGCATATTTGTAGCCATGGACTCGAACAGGTTCTCAATGGATTCGTTGTTGGAATTCAAATCCTCTTGTATGAAATAGATTGTTGATAGCTTTGGTGCAGAGAAGGAGGGAAAAAAGGCAAGCTGGTGGATATCCTGATAGGTATAATGCATTTTCTGCAAGGATTGAAAGGTGTGTATAATGCCAGTAAATTCATATTGAATGCCTGAATCTAACATGTCTGTATCATTGTAGATAACATGAAGCATCTGAAGACTTGATATTGTTGATAAAGTCTTGCACAGATTGGAAGGATTGGTGGTGCAGTGCAAAGTGAGGTAGAGCTCATGAAGAGAGCTCCAACAAGCACATGAAGAAAACAAGAGATCAAAGTATATGAAGGCATAATTGAAGGGGTTGAATTCATAGTTGCTATCAATTTCAAGAAGGGCTAGGCGATGGTGGTTGAAGAGGAGGTTCCCAACATGAGCATAGAGGGCTGATGAGTTGCGATCTGAGCGAATTTTAACATTGATGAGTGATGGAACTACAAGAAGAGCGCAAAGGCTCTCAGTCTCAACTGTTACTCCAATTGTCAGAGAGGTGAGACGGCGGAAAGTTGATTTAGAAAGGTGTCCTTCAGCAAAGGCAATCTGGACAATCTGTGCAGCTCATGGCAGATATTGAGGTGCACTAGAGCAGGAAGTGTCAAGCTTGACCTTTTGCATGTGCTGCGCATATTGTTTGAAACAGTCCCAGTCATGAAGAGAAAGGGGTTGCTCAGAGAGCCTTAACTAAATGAACCATTGGTCAAGATATGATGCTATAACAAATAACTGTGGCAATCTTACCTCTTGTATTTCACCTCTACACCCACAATCTGATGAGCATCGAGATGGGGGAGAGCTGTAGTCATCATCCCAGGAGGCAATATGGAGCAAGGCAAAGAGAGGGGAGAGATGGATCTGGAAGCGATGCCACAACTTGGCAAGAGCTGGTTGACAGAATATGGAAGAGACCAGTGCAATATTCAATAAATATGAAGGCTGATAAACATTGACAGAATTGACAATGCGAGCTACAAGCTCAGGAATGGATAGAGCAGAATGTGCCATTGGAAGAGAGGCAGGCATAGATAATGAAGTTCTGGGTATGGTGAGTCTGTGCTAATGATGCTAGATTGGTTTGGTACCACATCCAACACCATAAAAGCAGGCCAGAAAATGTAGGATCTGATGGTCTGAGACAGAGATGGATGGTAGATGGAAGTAAGAGGCAAAAGACAACTTAAAATGCCATCAACCAGCGAGTGTTTGTTTTGAGACTCCACAACAAACAGAGAATCTCATAAACGGTAATGGCAATAGTGGAATTCTGTTGGAATATAAGACATTTTTTTATGATTGAGGTATGATAATATACAGACAAAAATATAACTACTGATTAAAAGAGGCAGGTGAGACATGAACTCTTGGGGAGAGGAGGAGGAGGAGAAAGGCATTCAAAGGTGATGGGCAGGTGTGTGTCAGCATCCAGGGCCATTGTTGGATGTGATTGGTGGTTGTGGACAGATGAGAGGGATGGGGGCTGGTAGTTGGAGGGGCGAGAAGCGTCATTGGTGGTGGCGGAAGTCGAGAGGGAGGGCAGGAGGGTGAGAAGGGGCGGGCAGGGCAGAGAACAACTGCAAATGAGACCAAACTTGGATGTTTGGCGTCATTCATCGTCCTGGATGGCCGTTTGGACAGGGGAGGGGCGTCAGAAGGGGGAGAGGAGGTGGTGGTGATGATGGAGGACGAGACGTGGGCAGTTGAGGGTGCAAATGCTGAACATATGTGTTCGGCATCCTTCATTGTTGTCAGGGCTCTGTGGAGGCCTTTTGGATAGGCAAGAGGAGGGGGGGTTGTGGGCAGAAGTCAAGAGGGAGGGGGGAAGGGCAAGAAGGGGCAGGTGGGGTGCAGAACGACTGTGAATGCCAGGCTCGTTCGTGCACCGGGGCGTCGTTGGACAGCCCCTGGGGGTGTTGGATGGTGAGAAGGGGCAGCGGAGGGTGAGGAGGGCAAGGGGGTAGTGGTGGGGTGAACCAGGCGGGCGACGGGGCGAGAACAAGCCCAAACTTTGAAGTTTGGGGTCGTTCGCGCACCAGGGGCATTGTTGGACGGCCCCTGGGGGTGTTGGATGGGTGAGAGGCAGTGGCAGAGGGCAAGGAGGGCAAGGGGGGTGGTGGTGGGGTGAACCAGGCAGGCGGCGGGGTGAGCAGGACCCCAAACGACCCTGAGCATCGCAGTTTGGGGCAGTTTGTGCACCAGTGGGATGGCCCCCGGGGATGTGGGACCTATGACACATGAAAACTCTCTGAGAGTTTTCGTGTGTCATTTGTTTGCGTCCCTACAAACACTTGCTAAATTTGCTGGGCCCCTTCCTCTTTCACAACCGCCATCATCTGGACTCCTCCAGATGGTGTCAAGGGGCGAGAGGAGGGGGTGGTGGTGGAAGGCGAGAGGCAGGCAGTGCTAGATGGGCAGGCAGGTGGGACACAGAACTAGTGCAAACAACACTGAACCTCCATGTTCAGTGTCGTTCGGTGTCCTTGAAGGCTGTTGGTAGGGGCGAGAGGCAGAGGGTGAGGAGGGTGAGCAGGTGGTCATGGGGTGAGAGGGGCGGTGGCTGAACAATTACTACAGTAGCCAGTAAAAATGCAGTGAACTATTGAAAATGTAGCTATGCCATCAATGCAATACTTACTGTCAGAAAAAAAACATGGATGACCATAATGTGGGAAAGCAAAATGATCTCTGCATCCCAGGTTGAAAGAACAAGTCTTACTTATGTAAGAACTCGTAACTTTTACACAGAATCATCCCCTTGCCCTTGCACATACCTCGTTCTGTTTCTATACATTTATCATCATTTATCATGATTTTACATGGGCCACTATAACCCATCCTGGAGGTTAATAGAATATCTTAGATCCTGGGAAATCGGTCAATAACCCAGCTTCCAGGCAATATAAAAATATGATAAAATATGTTAAATTCATGAATAAATATATACTACTCACGTACCAACTTTCAAACTTTCAGAGGTACATTTAGTGGGGTATCCGGAGTGGGTCTCCTGGTGTACCTATACCCCCCCTCAGATATACTACACCCAGACACCCCCTGGCATTATAAATGGTACTATTACTCTCAGACATGTATTCCATGATTTTTGGCAAAGCTAGATGGCTCTAAACATGCCCCAGGATGCATGGGTGCACCATGCATTATCGTAGCCAAAATCGCGTTTATCATATCTCAACAAGTTCTCACCCGTTTCACGCGATAACAGGATCTACATGAAGGTATCAATGTACTCAACATTTCGCTCAGCCAAAGCTAAGCGACATAATGCGAGGGCAAGCCAGAATTATGCATGGATATGCACCCATCATTTTATTGCCAAATTTGGCAAAGCGCATCAAACCCTGCCACGCACACTATTCCTGGCTGTGTGGCGCACCCCATAATTCATAATAAATACTCAAAATATTTCTGACGCACCCCCCACTATAGATACAAAGGTCTGCAAAGTTTCACACCGAAATATTAAGTTTTCAATTTGTTATTCAATTGTTTTGTATTAAAAATGCAAAAGTCTCTGGATTTTTCGCATTTTTGGCTCCCCCAGCCCATCCCACACCCCGTGGGGGCCATGACAATTATTAGCATGCATATTTAGCCCCACCCAACCCATTTTTAGGCCCCCGCCGCACCCAGAACCCATCCTGCCATCCCACTAGCCCCTATCATGCATTCCCCACCATCCCTGCCTGTTTTGGACAGATTTCCCACACCTTTCCCACCCCTCCTGCCCCCACAGGCCTACCCTACCCCCGCCCCACCCCCGGGAGGGTTGTTTGGTCATTTATTTACCTCCTCCCGCCTCCAAACAAATCCCTATAGCTCCAGCATCCCTGGCAAACTCATCCCAGGAGCCTCAGAAAGCTTGACTGCTTTATCACAGGCTGGACTTATGAGATCACACTGCTTAAACACAGGGTTTGATGTAGATTTCTAGCTGACATGGCTGATTATCCAACACCCAAAGGGTCCCGGTTGAAGCCAAACACCATAGGGTTGTGCTTCATGAATGATGCAATATCCCTGTTTTCTCGGGGATAGTGTACAGAGTATCTATCGTGGCAGTGAAAGAGGATGTGCTGGTGAGACTGCAAGGCAGCCCCGCAAGTGCAGCTGTGAGGTTCATTGATCTTGAAGCAACGGTAATATGCTCCAATGGGCGTGTGGCCAGTTATACACTGGCAAACATGAGCAAACTCAGTAATACTGTGTCCGAAGGTTGAAAGCCAAGGTCCCCCATTGAGGTACGATGGCTAAATTGGCTGCCTGTCAGGCTGCTGGAGCTCTAAGAATTCAGAGCCTCAGTAAGTTGGATCCTGGAAAGTCGAACTCCATGAGTCCAGGACTGAGTGCACAGCTTGAGAGCGTAGCACATCTATAGAATTGTCCATCTTGCAACGTCCAACTCTGACTTTGAGTTCAGTGACGTACTTGTGTGCCTCACCATGAATATCCCACCAGAGAGCAGATGGAATGTAGATAAAAGTGATGCGGTGTGGGTCATCCGCCTTAAACCACTCTTGGAGAGCGTGACAAACTGACAGACTAAAAGCCTGGCCAGAGTGTATGGAGGGGTCGACTGCTCTGTGGGCCGAGCCCATAGAGTCAGTGAAGACCATGGTATGTTGGCAGTTTGCCTGCTTGACAGCAAGGCGCACTGCACATGTGATGGCATTGAGTTCCACATCAGGGGTGGTAACCCTGCCTGAGACATAGCAAGTCCGTTCGAGCTCGCAATGTCCCTTGTAGAGGATGGCAGCCAAAGCCGCCTGATACTGGTTGGACTGAGGGACAGAGCCATCAGTTGCAGCCAGTACTGTTGGTGGATCGGCTCTCACATTCGCAATGAGCTCATTAAGGTACAGGCACCTATCCTGTGCAGGATCACATTTGTCAAAGTGGAGACAGTCCGCAAAGCGGTCCAGTAACTGATCACCCAGGTGAGCTTCAGGAGCAAAAGGCTTGAAGCTCTCAGTTAATGTGTGGATGCGCTTGTCCACTTCCATGACAGTGCTCTTGACTTTCCCCTGCATAGCAGGAGTCATCAAGGCAGCAGAGCAGGCATGCAGTTTGGCCCATTTGAGGAGTCTCTTGCCTATCATAGAGCAAAGAGGGTGAGTGTCTGAGAGGGTAGCGATGTGGTACACTGCGCATGTCGCCAACTTCTTCAGCATAAGGTGGATGGGAATGAGACCTGCTAAAGCCTCAAGACCGCCTGCAGGTGAGGTGCGGAAGGCACCTGTGATCCATAGAGCAGCTTTCTGCTGCATCCGTTTGAGCTGGTTCATGGTGCCTTTGTTATGGGCGCCATCGAAGTACCAGAGACGATAACTGTATGTGGCAACAGGAACCATGCACGATCTATAAAGGAGGTGTCGCTGTTTAGGTGAGAGACCTCTGGTAGAGTTTCCGAGCATGCGCATGGCCTGCACAGTGGTAAATGCCTTGGTGGCATAGTAGCGGACATGCTCATGAAATGTGAGCCTGCGGTCAAAGTAGAAGCCCAAGTACCTCCAATAGGTCTTGGGCTTCAAAGGTGTAGCGCCTGTATGTGGGGCGTACCCCAGGTCAAGCAAAGGATTATATGCGTTGTGTCGGCACGAAAAGTGAAACAGCTCGGTCTTGTCATGTTCAAGGACGAGCGCGAAGGCAACAAATAATAGGTAGATAATCTTGTAGGCCTTATGCAGGCCCACATTATTATCATCAAGCTATTTGCATTGGGCCAGAATGGTCCCATCATCCACAAAGGAGAGCAGCGTCGTGTTAAGTGGCACTGCCTTGGTGTAGAAGAGCTTCATTACTGGAGTGATGAAGAGCCCTGAAATAACAGGCGAGAGAGCAGAGCCCTGCCCGACACCCACATCTGCAGAACATGAGCCAGATTGGAAGGTGTTCCAACAGTAAACTGTGGAGCGACCAACTAGATAAGAAGCACAGAAATCCACCAAGACTGGTGAAAACCCCTGCTTGTGAAGAACAGCCATGAACATTTCATGGTTGATAGAAGGGAAGAACTGTGTGATGTCAAAAGCCAGTGCGCTAGTCTGGAGACCCTTAACCCACCCCGCTCACACGAGATGGGTCAGGATCAATCCAGCGTCCTCAGTTGACCTCTGGCAAATACTGCCTAGCTGGTTTGGATGAAAGATATCATGCTTGACAGTGTCAAACTGTATCCTGTTTGCAATCATCTTCTCGATAAGTTTACCAAAAGTGATGAGGAGTACGATTGGCCTGAAAGCCTTTGGCACAGCATAGGAGGGCTTGTTTGGCTTTGGAACGATGACCGACAGTGATTCCTTGAATATATGCAGCCAATGACCCACCCAGAGGCAAGCATTGGCCAGCATGATGAAGAGCACAAGGACATGGTTATCCTTGAGCAGCTCCTTTAGGTGGACCCATGTAACATGGTGTGGTCCTGGTGCAGAGGAGTTGGAGCCCCCCTTAAGCACTTCTATAAGCCAGGTAAATATATCAGATACTGTATTTAAGCAGGGTATACTCACATGTCAGGACTGTGATTAAACAGTCCACTCATGGAGAGGCCCTGCCATGTGTGCCGGGGCTCAGTGCTGTGGGTGGGGCATGTCAACACAAGCAAACAATGCAGGAAACAATGCCTGAGCATTGTTCCTCGTCATTTTCGGCATTCCCACCACCATTTTCGATGGGGAAAAGGCGCCAACAATGAGGAAATATGTTTCCTCATCATTGTGCACTGTTTCCCCCATTGTCGGGGGGCAGGAATGGGTGGATTGGGGAGGGGCAGTTTGGATGACACTTGGTATTTTTTGCTGTCATCTATTTTTAGATCGAACATTCTTGTGCATACCAAAATCTGCAAAAAAAATCATATTAAATTGTAAAAGAATTATATACATGGTACAGGCGGCTAGTAAAGCCACCTGTTAAGAAATAGAAATAAAACGAGCAGAAACGGCGTATAGGACGCTTGTCCATGGGGGTGGGAAATTGCTGCCCCCCTGCTCCCGCCTCTGCTGCCTCTGCTGCCCCTCGGTGGGCGTCTCCGCCTCCTCTTCACCGCCCCCTCCCTCCTGCGCTTCTTGGGGCCCTCTCCGCCCCTGCTGTGTTTGTTGGGGTGGGTTAGGGCTCCTCCGCCCCCTCTGCCTCTTGCTGGGGTCGGTTGGAGGCCCCCTCCACCTCCTTCCATGCTCATTGGGGTCGGTTGGGTACCCCTCTGCTCCTCTGCCACCTGCTGGGGTCTTTGGGGCCCCCTCCTCCCCCTGCCATGGTTGCTGGGGTCGGTGGGAACCCCTCCACCCCTTCCGCGCTCTCCATCCACACCCATCTGCCCCTCCTCTGCTCGTTCAGGGCCCTTCATCACTCGTTGGGCCCCTTCGGGTGCTTGTTTGCGCCCTCCACTGGTCGTTCGCTGGTCAGAGGGTCCCCTCGAGGGGGCGAAGGGGCAAGTAGTGGAGGGCGAGAAGGGCGAGAAGGGTGACATGGCGACATGGTGGGGCAGAGGGCGAGGGCGAGGCAGATGAGACGGTGGGGAAGAGGGTGAGGCGGGCGAGGCGGGGAGATGGGTGAGAGGGTGAAAGGGCGAGGAGGTGAGGTGGGCGAAAGGGGCGAGATGGCAAAATGGGCAAAAGGGTGAGGTCAGCAAAATGGGCAAAAGGGCAAGGTGGGCAAAAGGGCAAGGTGGGCAAAAGGGCAAGGTGGGCAAAACGGGCAAAACGGGCAAGAGGGGCAAGAGGGGCAAAAGGGCAAAAGGCAAGGTGGGCAAAAGGGTGAGGTGGGCGGTGGCCGAAGGGCTAAGGGGAGAGGGCAAGGGAGGGCGAGGTGTGGACAAGGCATGGACAAGGCACGAGAAGGCGTGGCAAAGGCAGGGCGAGGCAGAGTGCCCCTGCTGCCACCGCTGTCCTGCCCTCCCTGTTGTTGTTGTGCTGCCTGTTGTTGTTGTGCTGCCCGTCATCATCATCGTTGTGAGACAGTGGGGGTGAGAGGGAGAGGTGGGCAAAGGCGAGAGGGCAAGGGTGAGAGGGCGAGAGCGGGGGCTAGAGGGCCAGCCATGTAGGCTAGAATTTTATGTATTTCTAGGTAGTTGCCTAACTTAAAAATTAAGCCCTGGAGGGCAGTTTGCTACCTGCCCCTTTGGGATGCCCTTGAGACGAGGCAGCTGTGTTGCCGTGTGTCTGGCACCACTGATGGGTGATGGGTGATGTAAACAGGTGCCAAACACTGTCCACAGCAGTGCTTGGGACCTCAAAAAGGCTGCTGCTCGTCATTGGGCGCGCGTCGGGTGTCAGGGACACTGCCAAGGTGATCCCTGATTTTTTCCTGCCTATATCAGGTCTTTCCGTGCCTCAGGGGTGGTGGGAAGGGGTGGATTGGTAATAGGGCTTTTGGATGACGTTGTAAAAAGTCCCCACTGTGCTGTGATCTCGCCACTGGAAGCTTCACCGTCTGTCGATGATGCTCGTCGTCGCCTGTCACGATGACCGGCGACATCAGGTACCTCTCTCTTGCGTAGAAAATTAGCAAGAAAATGTATTAATAGTAAATAATACAAATACATGCTACCTATCACACAAATAAATGAGAATGAGCACTGCGAGATATGTTCGCGATGCTCGTTGCTCCCACCAGCTGTGTCTTCCCGGAACCACCTCACCTCCTCCTCGCCAAGCACCTGCTTGGAGTCCCACTGACCTCCTGCTCCCTCGCCCTTGTGCCCCCATTCCCTATTGTCATTTGTATGTCGTGCTCATGGTGCTGAGGGAGTTGCAGTTGCCAAGGCTTCTGGGCATGTTCATGTACAAGGGTGGGGTGGCAAGGTCGGGCGGTGTGGGACGCAGTCAGAGTGGAGGGCTGATAGAAGGGGATGAGCAGAGCCGTCATCAGGCTGCTCGTGCTTGTGTTTGCCTTTCTGTCATTGTGGTGTTCACACTAGTCCCGTCTTTGTCAGGTGGTGTTGTCATCGTGCTCTCCCAGTCATTGATGTGCCCAAGCACACCCCCGTCATGGTCATCCTCTTTGTGCTCGTATTCGCTCCATCCCTACTCAACTTTCGTTTGCCGTCTCCGTCATGTTTCTGTCGTCGCATCTCTCCTCCTCGCACATCCTTGTCTTCCTTATGGCCCAGCTCATCGGGTCGTCGCTGAGCCTGCCAGGCTGCTATCTGTCATGTGTAGGGTCGGCATGGCTGGCTCGTCGTACTGTTGCTTGTGACGCTGCAGGTCGTCGTGCTTGTGTGCATGTGTTGGACCCACGTTTGCCTGTGTCCACGGTGTCGTTGGCGCCTGTGCTAGCCGTATCCACCCTCCTCATCTTCTCTCGTGCTTGAGCCTGCTGTGCTACGTTGTCCTTCTTGTCGTATCTGGCATTGTCACGCTCACGCTGATGCTCGTGGTGTTCGCATTTGCTGGCCATGCTGCCATCTCGATCTCGCTGCTGCGATCGTGGTCTCCCGCTGTTGGGTTCTTTGTGGTCAGAGTCATCGCCATCATTATCTTCTCGTCATCGTCTACTCGCCTTCGCCACGTCACCGTCCAGCTCAAGCTCGGAGTGTCGGTGTCGTGTTCCATTGTGTTCGTGTTTGCCCTTGTTGTCTTGCTCGAGATCAAACACTAATTGTCCCTCAGCATGTGCATGTGCGAAGCCATGGGCCTGGAATGGGGAGGAGAGTCTTGCTTGGGAAATGGAGGGCGGAACAAGGCGAGGGATGTGGGGTGAGACGCGTGCACGACCGAGTACGAGCAGAGGATGGGGAGGTTGAGGAGTGGGGTCGATGTTGAGAGCTGGAGAGAGGATGAAAAGGAGCAAGTAACCGCGGGGAGACGACTCTGTCCTTGCTGTCCTGAATCTCATTGCTGTCCTTGCTGTCCTTGCCTTGCCCTTGCTGTCCTTGTCTTGCCTCCAATTTGCCTTGCCGTCGAGCGTACGCTCATCGTGTGGGTGACGTCGTTTCATGTGCTTGCTGTGACAGACGGTCATTGGGAGAGAGGTGCAATGCGCGGGGCGAGTGAGGTGGAGCGAACAGGACTGGGGGGGGCAAGGAAGGTGTTGGTGTTGGATGCTGGGGTGCTGGGGACCATGCACGGTGCGAACGGGTGGGAGGCGGCGAGACCCCAAGGGTGGAAGTCTTGCTATGGGCAAGACGTGCTCCAGTGGACAAGTGGAGGGCGAGAGAGAGCCGGCCCACATCCCTATGCTAGGGGAGGGGCACACGGCGGGTGGCGAGCATCTCGACACGGCATCTTCGAGAGCGAGGGCCCTATGGCAAGAAGAATTTGTATAATAGACAAAATACATATTTATGTTTTACTCACCTGTTCGACGGGCTACTGGGGCTGGATGGACAGTGGGCGATGGTGGTGAGTGTTGAGAACACGATCATTGACGTATTGGGCGTTACTGAATGAAGCGATCCTATTGGTTGATCTGCCGGCCTGCCAAATCTGCATTCCGTTAATATCCCATCCTCGAAGAACGGAACAGCGGCAACACACAAACGAGTCCCCGGAACACGGTTTCGAGCTTCGGAATAGACAGTAAGAGAGTATGTATATTTTATGACTGTTTAATTTCAAGACGGTCTTGACCGTATGACGACTCAGATGACGACCATTACTCTACCATTACCCTAGATTTCGTATCAGGGAAACGGAGTCTACAGATTGTCAGCCTTCCATACAGGGTACTTGAGGCAGACGTTGTGTCAATTGTATTATCTTTCGTGCTACACTGCATATACAAGTAATTATATTTGACTAGCTCTCTAACTGATCTTTCTATTCGCACTGGTAGATGAGGGTTGGTCCTTGGATGCTTGAGGCATAATATGGGGCCACGATCAAGTCTTGACACTTCTATTTAAACTACTGGAAGGGAATGGCATAGTGTTGATTAATTTTTGCACAGAAATTTTTGAGTCCTTGGACTCTCACTGAACAATGAGCCACCTTTCGAAATCACCAACTGGGGTGATTTCGAAATTCCCTAATTTGGGCGGATTTTACAATTCTGCCTTGCAAGTAGTATTTACTTCGGAGATAAATAGCAATGCTACCTGTAGAAAGTACCCCGAGTCTATAATCAAGGTGAATTGAAATTTGACCAGGTTCCTACTGATAGTTTGGGCCTAGAGAACATCAAGAACAACCAGGATGCTCATTTCAGCATTTTCTGGATGATGACCAGCAGAGGCCAAATGTTGTTGATTGTCGTCTTCCACCACCACAGCAGCGCTGCAATACCCTGCCCGTTGGCCATCCAGCCACCAAAACCTGTCTCACAGGTAAGTAGATGTATTTCCTTTCATTTTTCCACCTTACTGACTACTTCTATGCTCTCTAGGTCCCAGCAACATCATGGATGACGTCTTCAGTGAACACCCCACCGCTGTGAGTCCCTCCCCTCCAACAGGGATGTGGGCCGGCAAGCGTTGGACACACCGCACCCCCACTTGCCTGTACCCATCCACAGCGCCCACAATTCCTGGCTCCATGGCACCCGCTCCCATCCACCGCTTCACGCACCCGCCCACATCCCCACCCATCTCATCCCATCCGCATCCCATCCACCCCTTCACTGGGTGTTCAGTGGGTCTTCCCCCACACGCGATAGGCTGATATTCGCTAACTGGGCCACCCTGGGCACCAGCAGGTGGAGGAGGTGGGACCAACTCTCGGACAACGAGTACAATCATGAACGGCGGCGACCATGCATGCCATGGATGGGCAAGATAGAAGGGATGTCCCCAACCATGCCACACACAAACACGAATAGCAATGGGGATAGGCACACAACGAGGAGGGGCATTACGACCAGCTGGGCCCTTGCGCACACACACCCCGCCTGCCCTCTCCCCTGCCATCCACCCCATGTCGCCTACCACCCATTGCCATCCAGACCCATTCTCTGTGAACGAAAGGACAAGGAGACAAGGAAGGAAGTACCACCATGACACAATGGGGCAAGCACAAGCACAAGCACGACAGCGATGTGGCGAGCTCGAACACAATGGTGACACAGTGAGCTCAAGCATGACGTGGACCCAGCAGGAGGCGGATGGGCAAGGATAACAGCAGACGCCACGAGCAAAGCAAGACACCCCACCCCCCTTCCACCCTCCGCCAATTCAACTCGCCCACCTTCC